GAGGGAGAACGAGGCGAGGGCAAGAGTCCCAGAATAATCCAGAATGGCACTCTTATCCTGCCGGGAATCTGAACTGGTTGAGAAAATAAATATACATTATTTTAAGCTTCAGATTTTGAAGAAAATTTAAAATGCAGAAATGCAGAGTTAATGATCATCAATCATGGTGAATTCAAATCTTCTAATATAAAGATAAACAATGCAATAAAATCAATTGGTAGTTATATCCAATTTACAACAGATTCAGCTGCAGAACTCACAGTAATTTTGTTATATTATATAACATATGCCAAAAGTATTTGTAGTTCTAAAGTAGAATCATAACAAAAAATTCAATAAAGATTTCATAGTATATGACTTCAAGAGAATGAAAAGAAGCTGGGTAGAGGGGCTGGGAGATGGCTCACTGGATAAAGTTAAGATAAAAGTGCCCTCAAGCAAGCCGCATGGTCTGAGTTCAATCTCTGGAACGCATGTCTAAGAGCCAGTTGTGGTGGCTCACACCTGTAATCCCAGTACTCCTACAGTGAGATGGGAGGAAGAGACAGGAGAATCTGCAAGTCTGCTAAACACAGCTGCAGAAATAAAATCAGCTGCCTCAAAACAATTGGAACGAGATAACTCCTGGAAAAGTTTTCCTCCAGTTTCCACACGCGCGCACTTTGGTATGCATGTGCCTCACCCTGTTTTACATGATAAAATAAAACAAGCATCAAATAAAACAAAAAAGAACTTAGGTGGAAAATGGCCATCCATTCAGATAATTATCTTACAGCATGCTTAAGGTGTTGGCCATTTTATTATTAACTTTAAGGATGCTAAAACTTTCTTATGAGAAAGTAGGAAAATCTTCCCCAGAATGCAGTATTATTTTCTATACAAATATGTATGTGTAGATTTACATACCTATTTATGGCAAGTGAGTATGCCTACATGCACATGTGCATACGCAAAGAAGGACATGTCTGTTAGTTGTATGAAACACGGGCTCTGGTGATGTTTACATGGGTGGGTGACAAGCTTCTCTTCGTCAGAACTTAAGTAGATGCCACAGTATTCAATGGGGGCATTATGGTCTTGGGGATGGACAGAAGTCCACAAGGACCCTAAGTGTCTGGGTATGCTCAAGGGAGCTCTCACACTCATTCCCTTGCCTGAGGCTTGGCTTCTGTCAGATGTAGCAGTTCCATTTCGGGGATGACAGTGACAGGTGCCAATTTCTGTCAGGAGATCATATGCTCGCAGTCCATCGTTTCCCCCAGAGTCTTTGGGAGAATAATTTTAGTCTTTCTTTTTATGTGAAGCTATTTCTTGCCTAAAAAGTAGCTACCTCTAAATGAACCACTCCTCCCTCGAAAGATTAACATAGGCTTCTCAGACTCAAAATTTTGACTGGGGTGGAATAAGAATGAAAAGAAATCAATAACAATATTTCTGAAAATAATGTAAGTAGGCTTGTGTATGCTTTGCTTATTTGGGAACCGTCACTGGATGTGGCTAAGAACCATGCAGAAACCCCCACCAAAATGTCAGAGAGTGAGGGCGGGAAAGAGGCTAAGTTTTTTTGGGGGGCAAGAACTTAATTAAGTGGAAATTAAAGCATGCACACGTTAAGGAGCTATTCTATGGAGACACTGGCAATGCAATCCAGGTTTCTCCAGATCCAAAGATCAGTCTCCTAACACCAGAAGGCCTTCTTACGCAACTAGAGCTACCTGCACCTTGACTCACATGAGCACCCCTGCAGATCCACATTTAAAGTCTATTGATGAGCAAGTCAAATCAGTCTGCTTTTCTGGGGTTACAATCTTCATCAAACAAAAAAATCCCCTGGGAAAAATGCAGCTTCTGTATAGAAACAAAAGAATGGGGTGAAGAGATGGATGGGCAGATCCAGGTCAGCTAGAGATGCAACTGAGTCTGCTATAGTGAGGAGCCATTTAATAACCTCTGCAAAAACCCACTGCAGATACCTAATAAGGGGTGCTCATTCAATAGGCTCCCTACAAGAAGGTAGGGACATAGCACATGAAAAAATAACACGTGTAGCATGGGAAGACTAAAAGTCATCTTGTTGCTTGAAAAGGGTTACGCTCCCAAAAACAAAAACCTAACTCATGGCAAGCATTCCACTCTTCAAAGACGCAGGGACTAGATTAGTGTTAGATTTTCTTATTTTTATTCTTTGACCTTCTAATCTACAGAAGATAACTTCTTGTTCTTAGAAGCAAGTTCTGCTATTTTAAAATGGACAAAGGATAACATTCTACAACATCCGTTTAAAATGTCCTTTTTGCCATGTGCCAACAGATGACCTTAAAATCAGGAAGGCAGAGGGATGCAGTGTGTGCTCACATGCCTGTGTGTGTGTGTGTGTGTGTGTGTGTGTTTCTATCTGGGCTCTACAGTTTGATTTGGGGTGACCTTGCTGAGTTTAGTTTAGCCTCTTTGACAGTCCCTGCTGTAGTGGTGTGACAGTGATTCCCACCCCATGCCCTTTGGAAAAAAAAGTCTGTGTTCTCTCTTTTTTGTTTTCCTCCTACATCATGAATAAGGTTAATGAAAAGAACTGATGAATTTCCAGTAAAGACTTTTTGGCCTATGTTTTCTGAGTGGAGCCAAAGAAGCTGGGTAAATGTCTACTCTTTCGATTCCTTCTAGAGGAACTGAGTTAGACCTTGGAGTGGCCAGAGCTTGCTGGCTTTCTCTTTTGGTTCTTTTCCTTATGCTCCACTCGTTTGTAGTAGAAGTCCAGCCTAAAAGCCATTCTTTCTTAGGGCCTGTGGCTCACCCAGCTGGAGACCAATATCTGACTGGCCATATTTGGGTCTGTTTCTCCCTATGATATGGGCAACTCTGTCCTCAGTAGCCTTTTCCCACAGAACATTAATTAGGCCCTGCCATTCAGCTGTGAGGTAGGACACACTGACAGACTCCTCAGCTTAGGTAAAAGAATGCTACAGGGTGCAGACATGAGCATTTCCAAAGGCATTTGAATGCAGAATCTCAGTTACTAATGAATGCTGGTCTTCCTTCTTTCAATCATGACTTTCCTTGGGGGACTTTTCAGGAGGCATGGTTGAGGATGAGATGCAGCTCGTCATCAGTACTACATTATGTTGACACGTTGTCATCAACATGAAACCCTGCTGTATTATGTTCCACATTATTAAGAGGATGAAGTGATACAGCGAATGGAAAAGTACACTTAGTGTGCTCCTGGTCAGTGAGCATCAGCTGAGGCTGGATACAAGTTAGAATATGGTGTTGCCCTTGTCTATCATCTCTACAGCACAGGGCATAAACTCTCCCAGAAACCAGCCATGTCAATGCAGTGCATCAGGGAGGAGGTTTGTTTCCAGGAAGGGGAATGTTTCTGGAAGTGAGCAGTTGGCTGTTGAGTGTGATCTACACATGGGATTCCAAGACTTCTCTCGACTTCATGCTATAAACTGCATCTCTGCTTCATCACCCACCAAACAGAACGGGATAAAAAAAAAAACTATGAAAACTGCCAGGCATCTCTAGGATTCTTCCTTAAATCTTTACAGATAAGAAGTTTTGAATTTGTGATCTTTGTAAGGTGATGATCTGCAGACTTTGTACTTTCTTGACATGGTATCCTTCCATAATTAGAACTAATGGTAAGTAGTTATCTCTCATTTCCTGAATTCAGGGTGCATGGGGGGTACTTAACATCAGTATCTCTACAATGTTTGAAGAGACACTAGAGTTAAGAGAGGTATAGGAACCCATGTAGAGGCACATGGTTTGGGAAAGCATAATCTGCATATCTACATTTGAAAGGATAGCAAGAATATTTCTTTGGCAGCATTTGCCAAAAGGATGTACAGGATTTTTCTAGGGATTCCAGGGAGGAGGTAGATCTCTCCATGCCACTCTCATGTCACCAGATGTGACATGAAAGGACTTATCCAGAACATGGTAGAAATGTGACAGCCCACTGTTTGAAGGGAAAAACCGTCCAGCCCAGCACATGAGAGTCTTCTCCTGCCCGGGCTTTCAAGTTCTCTATGAGTGAAAATCTAGTACGGAGGTCTTCAATCTGTGGGTAGGGACCCCACTGATGTCAAACATTAGACACCCTGCATGTCAGATATTTACATTCTGGTTCACGACACTAGCAAAATTATAGTTATGAGGGAGCAACATAAATAATTTTATGGTTGGGAGTCATCACATTATGAGGCACTGTATTAAAGGGTCACAGCATCAGGAAGGTTGAGAACCAGCGCTCCAGTGCAATAGAAAAGGTTGTTGGGCCAGAAGGCTTAGCTTCTGATTCTGGCTTGGTAACAGCAGCTGAGGCCTTCCTGGCAGCAACTCAAGCCTCTGATTTTCTTCCTCTACAAATTATGGAAAATGCTAGGCTGGTACACATATCCTAAAGGTTGCTGTTAGCACACCAGGGTCAGAGCTGTTCAGTGTCCTATTTATATCTTGGTTATTTACTGTCTGCCATTTTTTATGGCCACGTAAGTTCCAGAATATCAGGCATACTGTCTATACATTTCACTGTCCAGGAATACTTCAGACAAACAGAAATGACCCAACGTTGTTTACAGGATGAATGATCTGTGTGTTCTATACAACATTTAAAGGTGATGACTGTTGTTATTTCTGTTTTAGGATGTGACAAGTGGATTTCTTTAATTAGATATTAATTTTTCAAGACTGGCAATGATATCATTCTGCCAGTGAATTCCAACAACATTCAAGTTGAGATCACGATTGATTCTGCTCCTGTTTTTTTGGCTATTTCCCTAGAAGTTGTTCCTAGGGTTTTCCTCCCCCCACTCCAGTGACATCTGATATCAGCATCTAAATCACATGCAATGAAGATGGTGAGGCTTCATTTCTTGTTTCTAATTTTTGTAACCTCCAAGAGGGTTTCTTGGTTTTGCTGATTATTCTGCAACTTCCAGGTTCTCTCCAGATGTGAGCAAAATTGCTTACTTGGTTGGGATGCTTGTACTTACTTGATGAAGTACTTGATTCCATCTGCTGTGTAAGCTTCCTCCCACCCATAAGGTAAGCCTAGAGTGAAAGGAAACCAAAAATACATTTAATAAGATGATGAAGATAACTTTATTTTCTGGACACAAACCTCCCTCATGTTGACAATTACTGGAGTGCATTTCTCGCAGAAAATTATTTTCTCGAAAGGGGGAATTAAGACAATTCAGATGAGCTCTGGTACTCAGCATCTTTACAACGCAATAAATAGAGTCTTGAACAGTTAACAATCTGCTTTAGTTGCAATAACTGGATTATGACTTATCATTTACATGTGGTGAACGTTTTTGTCAGCAGGATTCATGCAGAAATTTGTGTTTGCAGTGGTTGGTTTTTGCCTGGAGGCAGAAGGATGGACAAGATGGCCTCTGCTTGTCTCTTCTGGCTCAAAGTTTCTTTAATTGGCTCCCTTTGCATTCTTTCCCTCAGCTCCACAGGGAATTAGACATGAGTGCCAGATCAGCAGGGCTTGGAGAGGAGTTTTTGGACAAGACAAGATTCCTTATTAAGTTTGAAAGTTTAGCAAAGTGATTTACAATGGATGGTGGCATTTTACTTTGTTAATTAAGAATTTTGTGCACTAAACAGAAAAGGCCAAACAATTTGCTAAACTTAGCTTCCATTTCTGTAATGGGATTGAGAACAGTTAGCTAAAAAGAGATATGGAATGAAGTAAGCAGGCAGCATGGGGGCATATTCTGTACAGAGTTCTGTTCTCATCAGAACAGACAAAGCACCCCTCTCTCCCGACCCAACCTCCCCCTCTCGTCTCTAGTGAGTCTCACTAGATCGCACAGGTTAGACTTGGACTAATTGTGTAGCCTAGACTGGCCTTGAAGTTGAGCTCCTCTTGCCTGTCTTCTGACCGGGAGAAAGGGGGAATGTTGGCAGGCTAGGCTGCCACATTTTCTTATATCCCAATTTTTCATTGCATCTCTCTAGAATGCAATGGTTTCTACCACTTCTGCTCTATCACTGGGAAAAGCTAAAGATTTTAACTGCATTTTTCCTATAAGCTCTGGTGACACTGATTATCGAAACTCTTTTGATAGGTATAAGATACATTGAAACATTGAGAGACAGGTTACATGGCTCAGGTAGCCTACTGTTTTGGAATGTAACCGGGCCTTAACAACAAATACTCGACTTTCACTCTTCCCAATAATAGCAAGGGGGAGGAGAGTAAGCGTGTGGGAAGAGTGTAACAACATGGATAAAATGAACCTTTACTCCACTTCCATTCAGTTCTTAAAGACTTCATCTCTCCAAGAAGACGCTAGTATTCTTTTTTTATGTGGTTAAGAAAAACAAATGAAAGATTTTACTTTATATTGATTGCAGTCTAAGACGGTGGGCCAATATCTCTTCCCTATACGAGCAAGGCTGTCTTGGAGTTTCTACCCTCTCTTCATAAATGCGTGTCCCTACTCCTAATTTAGTAGGAATCAATGCTTCTAGAACTCAGTATAAGCAAAACTCCAGAAGTGACATCTTTCACATGCGTTCTTTCAGATCTACCTACTGCTCAACTACGATATATGGGTACTGCTCTACAAGGCTGAGCTGATTCCTTTTCTCTTTTTATACTTTCTCCACCTTTTTCTTTTAAATAGATAATTTCATCTAACAGCGACGAGCCCCTTTACTTGCAAGGAAGACTCTGATGACAGTATGTAAGGACCCTGTTATATGACAGAAATACTCGGATTAGTTTTTGAGTAAAATGGTAAAGACTGGAAAAGTAGAAAACGGTTGTAATGTGACTAAGGCCTTTATTTGCTAGATGTTTGATTGGCACAATCCTTTCTGTCTCAGTTTCTGAGAGTCGTAGGCATTTTTTAATGAAGTAGAAGAAAGAGATACATTGTAATAATAGTCCTTTTATTAAAAAGTTTTAGATTTTATCACTGTTGAGTGTGTGTGTGTGTGTGTAGGATCCATGTGTTCCAGGGCTTACACACACGGCACATATCAGGAGTCAGATGCCAGCTTTGGGTAGGTGATTATGTGTGGTTTGGAGGCTGAATTCAGGCTGTTGAACTTGCATGGAAGCTCCTTTACTCACAAAGCCACACCCAACATGATGTCTTTAATCATGAGATCAATTTAAAACTAAGTTGACTGAGCACTTATTTTTCTCAGCTCTAAAGAAGACGTTTATACCAACCCATGAAGGTTCAAGGAACGCTGGAGAAAAGGGAGACAGGAAGAACATAAGAGCTGGAAGACAGGAAAAGGAGTTCAAAAAAGTTGTTTTGAGGGAAGACATTGCCGTTGCGGCAGCAGCAACAGGAACAACAGCAAACTCACGGCAGCTGTGGATACTTGCTCTGGGCCTGAGTGAGAATGCTCCACCAAGTTAGATGGAGATAGGCTCAGGGAACAATAGTATCATTGTTGAGCTATTTGCTAAGATAGATGGGTGTGGGGTGGGGGGATTGGGGGATAGGGTAGGGTAAGGCAGTGGTGGTGGTGGTGTGCGGTCATTGCCTTCTGCTGTATACCCACTGGTGACCTTATATGGTTCCAGTGGATAATTTTAATTCAGTGGCCATACAAATAACCCTAGTTAAACAAAATGAGTCACAAAATCTCCCCCCAAATCATGATTTTAAGACAGGGACAAGTAGGCAATAGGGAGAGGGATATTGGTAAGGATAAGAGAGAAACAAAAGACAGTGGGGATGAAGGAGAAAACAGAATTCATTATATACGTAAATAAAATTGTCAAACAATAAAACTAAAAATAAAAACGATCATTTCTATGCCCTAAAAACCATAAATGCCTCTTTTTAAGAAGATCAAAGTTTCTTATTTTTCATGCACTTATCATCTGTAAACAGAACTGGAGACTACTAATTAATCTCTCTGTGATATCTCAGTAATAAAACTGTCTAATTTAAAGAGAGACATACAAATAGTCTACTTCACATAACAGAGCTCTTCTGGTATTCACAAGAATATGTGACCGTGATATACTCAGTTTTCCAACGGTAATGATTTTCTCTCTTCACAATAATGATTTGGAAATAACCATAACAAAATATAAATACTTTGAAGTAATCATTATTGTTACAAAGAAGGAAATACTTGGCACAAAACCGTAATGTACTTGTAAGTACAGGATACTTCTCCTTTTCCCCTTTCAGTTTTTTTTTTAACCTGTTGTTGACAATACTAAGCATCTGCAGCTGTCTCTGACTGGAAGCGTTTGCTAGCTCTTGAATAACACTTCCCACCAGAGGCTACCTGTTTCTAATCAAAAATTTCATGGTGAAGACTCTAAAATCCGCATGAGTATCTTGCCAAAGTGAAAATCTTGAACGTACTGAACTTAGAATCCTGGCTGTCAGCTAAACCTCAACATATCCAAATTCAACTTACCATGTTTCCACACAGAACCATCTCCTTTGTTTCCCTATTCTATCCATTGCCACGGATTCTCTTTGTTATGTTTGGCCCAAGTGCTAATTCATTAAATATTTATTGATTATTATGTGTTCATAATTTTGCTCTGGTGTTCAATATATAATGATCAACAAATAAACATGGACCTTGAGTTCACAGCTTTAAAAATAAGGATGAGGATATAGCTCAGCCAGGAGACTGTGTGCCTGGCATGTATCAAACCCTGGCTCTGAGCCCCAGTACCGCCATTACTCTGAGTGAGCTGGTGCCTCATCACTGGAGAGACAGAGACAGAGACAGGAGAAACAGGAGTTCAAGGTCATGCATGGCTATAGAGGGAGTTTGAAGTCAATCTATAGGAGACCTGTCTCAAATATAAACAAACAAAAATGTTCACATAACAAAAACTCTATATAAAACGCACCCTCCCCACAATGATAAATATACACATAACAGCCATGAGTGCAGGAAGTACAGAAACTACAGGATGGCGTGAGCGAGGAACTCTGCACAGACAGACCAAGCTCCAGGACAGAGGCAGAATGCAAACCAGTGAGAAAAGGTCAGCAGGGTCAAGAGGCTGCAGCAGCATAGGCTCAGACTAGGGGAGCACGCTCCAGGTTGCTGGCACACAGCCATGAGACCTTGGCATGCTGGCTGGTTGGCATTTTGAGAACTGAGGGAACTGCTCTCTTTGTACAAGTGAAAAAAGATTCTGCTGGAAACATTATTTGCAGGCTGCAGCAGGACTGCCAGGACTCTCCTCCTCTCCTCTCCTCCCCTCTCCTCCTCTCCTCCCTTGTCCTCCTCTCCTCCCCTCTCCTCCTCTCCTCCCCTCTCCTCTCCCCCCTCCTCCCCTCTCCTCTTCTCCTCCCCTCCCCTCCCCACCCTCCCCTCCCCTCCTCATTCTGCCCTTTGCTTCTCATTTCCATGATTCCTTTGGAGACAGGGTCTCATAACCTCACCTATGTAGAGAGAATAACCTTGAACTGGTAGTTTCTTAATAGGTTTTGCTCCTATTGAGGATGAAGACGCTGCAAAATTCTGCCCCCATTATAAACAGGAAAAGGCCACATAAGTTAAACAACAAAACCCAAAAACCATTTTTTTTTTGAGATATGCAGAGCCCAAGTTTTCTCCTTTTTACCTGACTGAATTTCAAGGGGGAAAACAAGCCCCGCAAGTGGAGAACGTGCACACTACCTTAGCAGAGCACATGGGATGAAGCCAAGAGAGCCAGGGACACTAACATATTTTAAAGCCTGATGCCATTATGGGGCTATAAGTTAGAACCTCTGAGAGTCCTAAACAGTAGCACAGCTGCCCTCCTGAAACAGCTCTTGGCCCCTGAGACTTGACAGGGACATTGTACACAGAACATCACAACGGTATGCTTTCGTCAACAAGACCTACGTCAATGGTAACACCAGTTGATGTGGCAATGTGGTTGGGGAAAATTTACAAGGCCTAGCCCTAGATGATGAGCTACAGCCTATGGAAGAAGAGTTGTATTTGTCCATGGGTATAAGGGCCTGTATTTAGAATATAGCAGTGTTCCCATCTGATTGTATGTATCATGCAGAAGGTAGGTGATTTCATCTGTTGAGGCTTGG